TCTATAGTATTCTTTCTCTTGGAGGATTTAATAGTGGAGATGGGAGAATGTTATTTGGATATTAAACTTGATTTTTATTGTATTCTTTGTTGTTGTCATTTTATTTTTCTTTCATCATCGTTTTTCACGATTTTGAACTAAAATCGTCTACCAGTAGTAGATATTAAGTCTTTTTTTTTAGCTCCCTTTTACAGGGTATAATTCGATTTACAGTGTAAGCAATGCTTACGGATCACGAAAGGAGGAAGCAAATTAGTGTTCGAGGAATTGCACAGGTTGAAAACGTTGCCAATTTTAAGAAGGCATTCAATCGACATTTACATTTTTCGATCATCAAGGTTTGCCATTTATGTACCACATATGACTTTTGATTACTTGTATTAGTTATTACAGTTCTTGAAGTTAAAAGATACAAGTAACTACATAAGATCTACTAGATACAGTTTTTTTGCAATTGCTCTTTTTCACACCATATCTTAAAATTCGGATTTGTTCTTTTAAAGGACAGAAATGTAGCAACTCCTCGTGATTACTATTTTGCTTTGGCTCACACCGTTAGGGACCACCTTGTTTCCAGATGGATTCGAACACAGCAGTATTATTATGAAAATGATCCAAAGGTATATGATTTGATTTTTTTTTCTACCTGTATCCGTAACCTAAAATTGAGGCTCTTCAACGAGGGAAAATGTAAAGTTAATATTTTCAAATGAATTAGTATTATAGTTAGAGGTTATTTACGTACTTTACAGCGTGTCTATTATCTTTCACTTGAATTCTATATGGGTAGGACGCTTTCGAATACGATGATGAATATTGGCATTCAAGCGGCTATTGATGAAGCCTTATATCAGGTTTAAAATTTCCCTTCACGGTAGTATACAGTCAGAAGTAAAAAGCATTGTACATATTTTTCTTGTTCCCACTGCTTACGTGGAGATCATTCTTATAGCTGGGTCTTGATATCGAAGAACTGCAAGAAATTGAAGAAGATGCTGGGCTGGGAAATGGTGGTTTAGGTAGGCTCGCTGCGTGTTTTCTTGATTCGATGGCAACTCTAGGAATTGCTGCTTATGGATACGGCTTGCGTTACGAGTACGGTATCTTTAAGCAGCTTATTCGTGAAGGATGGCAGGTCAGTCAAGAGTTTTCTTCTCTAGAATTTTATTGCTCGTAGGATATCTTTAGGATATGGGATTTTGACAGTTTTGAATGATTTGGGCTTTTAGATGTCTGAGGGTTATTTAGCTATGACCGGTTCACTTTTGGCATTTTTACGTTTGCTAAGGTTTTTGGTACGCTCGTTTAGCACTTGTTATTCTTCATTTCTTCGCGCTGGATTGTTGTGGTTGTGGGTTACTGCTCTTCTGAAGTGCTGAATGTTACAGGTTGAAGAGCCTGATGATTGGTTGCGTTTCGGAAATCCGTGGGAAAAGGCACGTCCCGAGTACATGTTGCCGGTAAATCTGTACGGCCGTGTCGAAAAGGACGCTA